CTCTTGATTGTTGAACAAATTCTCCTAGTCAGCACCATATGGGTAATCTCGTACCAAATCCAACCCTTTAACCGTCCGTGATATGGCTTGGCCTTCCATGTGGAAGGTCTGGGTACTAGACTACCATATGGATGCATTGAGAACACTATGCAAAATGTGTGGTGATGTTAGGGTGCCGAATGTTAAATGAGACAACAGTTTCCTTTTCCAGTCAAAAACACGGGATTTTTTACTCATATATTAACGTCTACCGAGGCTTAAAAGAAAATTTAGGAAAGAAAAAGCTAAGTTAAAAGGGAAAATCGAAGAGTCAGTACGAGTTGGTTTACATTTTTAATTGAGACTCAATGAAAAATACAGGGAAATAATTTATTTAGATATATATATCATATAATCAAAATGAACGACCTTAATAACCAAATGTGCAGGTTTTAGCAGGTGTTTATTCTTTCACTCTGTAAATGCGCAATTTACATCTAAATGCCTTCCAAATAAATATTGATTCAAACATTCAAATTGTTTTAAAACCAGTGAAAGGTATCTTTCAGAATTTTTCAGTCAGCTAACACAAGGCAACGATCACTGGATGTTCCTCCAACCTATTGAAAATAAATTCCCAAATCCGACTAAAACGGCCTCAAATGGCTGTAAGCCTAAAATGTCAGTGAACGTAATAGTTGCTACAGTTTGCTTCGATCGGTTCGACCGCTAACCAAACAACACGAAGAGGAGTTTTTTCGCCTTTTCAGGGAGATCTAGGAGATTATAATTTTCCTAATATCTCAGCCTGCAAGAAGAGTGTCTAACGTCAAACTCAGTCGATGCAAATCTAAAATAAGATTAATTTCGAACATCATCTGCACCATGTTCACTGCTTTTAAAACGCAGCACTTAATTAAACGCGGCTGTGTCGACAAAACACCAAATCAGAGCAGTCGCTCATCCGGCGGACGTTGAATATACACAATAGGTTTAAGTTGCAAATAAAAAAAATAAATCATTAGGAAGGGAGACAAATATTTCAACGTAGAGTGATAATAATTGTGAATTAAATATCCCTCAACTATGATGGTACCGATGACGATAATTTTCACAAACTTTTAATAAATTGGAATAAACGCAATCATTTCTGTAATCAAGCTGGAGTTTCATAATTCACCCATGGGGGTCGTAAATCGTCCTTTCAGGTAATTATCCTGCTCACTAGTCTTGTTCAACCCGATACAAAAGTAATAAAAAAAATGTGTTGTCCAGCTAATGAAATTTTCGCCTTCTCAGTGGGGGGTGGAATTAGTTTTTTTTAAGCCGGCGAGAGGGCGGTTGCGCCGTGCTTTTTAAAAAACTCAATGATTTTATCAATACTTTTCAATAACAGTGAGCTGTAATCATTGTGCCAAAGGTGTCGAATTTTCTATTCCATTACCTAGAGAAGCGATTCATAGCTTTGAAAGCTGCTTAATTTGAAAGTAACAAATTCAATTTGAAAATTCGACGGGGTTAAGAATTGTTCTGAACTCCTAAAATAAGTTCCCGTAGAATCTATACAAGACCTAAAAAAAGTATTTAAAATATACCCGTAGTCTGATGATATGAGTGTCTTATTTGCTTGGTTTTGGTGTTGTGTTAGTCCTTTTGGGCAGCACGGTTGTAAGGTTTAAGGTTTAGTTGTCATGTCATGTTGTTAATAAACATTTAATGCAATAAGAGTTGTGAAATTTCTTTTCCTTGGGCATAAAATCGCAGAAAACAGTTCCTAGCTGAAATTTCGCTCATCTCGAACCAATTCGCAAAGTAAAATCGTGTTGTCCTGGGATCAACCGCTGGGCTCTTTTGTGTACGTTCTGTCAGGAACGACACATTTTTGGTTGATCTGTACCTTTAAATTTGATCATTTTAAAAGTCAAGTTCGATCTTCAACAGCACTTGTAAAATGGCAAGATTCTCGTCAGTCTCAATTAATGTGTTGAATAAAAGCAGCTGCTGGAAATTTTGGAGAGCACTCACGAAACTGAAGCTGCTCTTAGCTGCGCCTCAAGAAACTCTTGTGCATCCTTCGTGCTCCCAAACTTTCAGCGTGTTACATATCTCGATGAAGCACGCTGACGTATAAACTAGTTGTTCATTTAGAAAAAAGTAATCGTCCCGAATTGTTCGATTATCAGAGAAGATGAGCACTGCGATGAGCTGTTTTCCCTCGACTGTTAAAGGCGGAGAAGCCTGGATAGGGCAATTCCCAGGAACTAACGTGGTCCAACTGAAAGCGGTTGTTCAAGTGTTCTATGAAGACTTCAACCGCTTCGACCTAAACCCGTTACAGTTTAAATGGTTGATAATATATCCCGACCTAACGCTCCCGCAAAAGTTTCGTGCTGCACGGCATTTTAATCGTTCAATTCGTTAATTTAGCAAATCGGAACGGACAAGGGCCTATTATCTTGGCGGCATACAGAAGAGCGCTGGTGGGGGTCTTTTTTAATTGTTTAATCTTTTCCAAAAGACGTCGAAATTAAAGCGGATGAATGTTCCCCATTGAAAAAGAAAAATAATTGCCCCTTTAACTGCCCCAGTGATAGATACTGCAAAAGCTATGCAACTGTCATTTAAATAAACCTCTCAAAGTCTTGTTTGCTTCCGAAATTAGATCGTCAGCCCTTCAGTGGAGATAACTTGTTAATGATTTCTAAATATGCCAGCTTGTTGCCTTCAGTTAGACCCATCGGATACAGAAGCGTATTTCTGATGATAAAAATGTAGTAAAACAGTCATAAGTAGCGTAAGATCTGTAAATGAATTCAATAAACGACAGGAACTTTGACCCTAAATCAACTGAAACTATCTTAGCACATCTAGTTTGATTTTCACTTAAACTAAATTTCTAAATCCCGGGCGAGGAATCGTGTTTTTTTTTACAATACAATACTAGTGAAAGAATACAATAGAATTATAAAGCAGCTCCGATAAAGAAAGGTGGTTAATTCCTGGGAATAAAAGAAATTCAAAAGACAAAAATAGACCGCCTTGCTCAATAATGGTACAATGATTGATTTCCAATTATGAAAGGCTAAAAACTTAAGTGAAGTTTTTTAATATCTCCCAGACGAGCAATATTTTTTTTGAACAGGGAAGGTTTGGAAGATGAATTGGGGCAGTCCAACTGACACGACCATCATGGAGGAACAATCCAACAACTGTGAACTTTCGGCGAAAGAGAGAAATTGTGTTCAAAAAAACTCGCTACTTAGACAAACGAATCAAAAGATAAGTGCTTCTATACAGAGTGAACACAATCGATTTGAAAGAAAAATGGACTTGGAGGCTAAAAAGTTACGGAAAAAACTCACGATGATGATTCAAATTGCTAAACCAGTCACGAACAACGATGCAGGATCATGCAGCCCTAGCAAAACAGATTCGGTTGACGCTTCTAGCAAACTTAGGTTGCCAGCCATAAAAAGCGAGATCAAATCAGCACCATGTTCTCCAATTTTAGGCCATCGAAAGACAACTTTTTCGTGGGAAAATGTCAGTTTATCGCCACACTCCGGTTCGAATCCGTTGCCGATTCCTCGTCGGTGCTCATACAACGAAATCTTCTCTTCACCTCAAGGTTCACCCATTTTAACTCGGCAATCGAGTAATTCTTTTTTGAATCGAGATCGTCCGTCAGAGTTGATACAACTGTCGCCTCGCTCACCAGGATTGGAAGAAAATAACGGTAAGCTATCACCATCTTTGTTACCAAGAAATCTCAAGTTGAGAGAACAAGCTCGTCGCGATAGCCTTCTAAAGGCGACGCCGGGGATGCAATCACCTCAAGGTCCATCACTAGAGGACCAATTCAGATCACTTGGATCGTGTCGGTATCTGCGTCGAGCTACTGTAGGTCATGTAAAAGTCACAATAGATGATGAAGAAAAGAATACTGAACATACCGTGGAATTTTGTTAATATGTCTCAATTTGGGCCATGATTTTGTCAGATTATAAGGGGGTCAGATGTACAAGGCTGAATTTTACGCCGAATTGCAATTTTAACCACCACTGTCACCGTCGATCAATGTTGGCAAGTGTTAAGTTAAGACCGTCATTCGCACCCATCAAGGCTCTTTCACTAATCAGCACATTCTTTGCACGTAGAATCAAGAATATACCTTAAGGTGTCAAATGTTTTAGCACCGTGCTTGCATGATATCGTTAAATACTGTCGAAAAACTTAATATAGCATTACGGGGTTTATGTTAATAAATTTAGGTTAGTATCAATGGTTGAACGCGTGTACATAAGATTCTAGAATCTTGTTGCCGGTGATTGGGTTTGAAACGGTAAATTAACTTTCAACAGTATTATAAGAAGAGCTTGATAACTTTCAACGATTTATGTTTCTCTGCTTTATGGATCTATGACCATTAAGGGATGACAAAAGCGTTTTCATTTGGATTATTCGTAACAACGCTTTGCTCTTTAATGAAGCATCATTCGCAAACCTAAGCAAAGAATTAGTGACGTTTACTTCGTCGTTAATATTAAAAAAAAGAAGAGAAAAAACGCAAACGCTTGGCAAAGGTGTAAAATAAACAAAATACAGCGGCACATTTGTAGCGAAAACAGCATCATAAGCTAAATAGATGCAGCAAGAAATTATTGACAAATGCCATATGGCGCCATCAAAAAGAACTTTGAAGTCGTAATGACAATAGTTAGAATCGATTTAACTAGCCGAACTTCAATTTACGTTTTTGATGTAGCTATTAAAAGATTAACACATAATAAAGTATTTGTCTCTCTATTTGAACTAGATCTCTCTTTTGGGAATTGTTCGTGCGTATTCACGTCTCCTGTACCTTCTTAAAAAATTCTGGTTTCATGAAGAAGAGGCCGAGTAAATTGAAAACATACCGATCGCGAGTGAAGATTTCTACATAGGATGTAAACTTGAGTTTCTCGCTTGATCTCCTCCAAGGAAACCCAATACTTTAGAGGAGAGAAGAGCTAATGCTAATGCAAATGCTACCGCTAATGCTACAGAAAGCTAAGAACGTCTAATTTTATTGCTGCTTTCATAGTGCTATTAAAGGATTTTTTTTAATCTTTTAATGTCAAAACATAGGAAAATATTTTGTCTCATTGTTTTAATTAGATCTCTCATTTGGCAATCGTGCATACATACGATTATTTTAATCGATAAGCGCCTTTTTCGCCCGGTTTGGATTCTCTCTAAAACCAAGCAAACTAACAAACAAACACGCAAAACAGCCAACGAAGAAAACCAAACATTCAAGCTTTTATTATGCATTACTTGTCAATAAAAATTAAATGTGGATTTTAAATTTAACAATCCATTCACTCATTAATTTGTTACTACTTTTTAGCTTTCTGAAAGAGTCTGAAAGCTTCGTGGAAAGGATAAAGATACAAATCAAGTAGAATATTCGATTCACAGTTGCAGCCTTAAACAGTACCCTTGTAAACGCTCGGCTATGTTTTTGACAAACACCGGCAACAAAAAAATAAGCATCGTCAACAAAAATAAAAAGATGTTTCACGGTTTTTTGGATGAAATTGAAAGAAAATAAACACATTTAAGGCTGACAACAATTGAGATCAATTTTCCACAAAAATTAAAAAAAATAAACACATTTAAGGCTGACAACAATTGAGATCAATTTTCAACAGAAATTAAAAGAAATAAACAATTATATCTAAATTATACTAATCAAAAAGATTCTTTAATTTTGTAACTCAAATTTGTGGTTGCACCTGATCAGAGAACCCCAGATCGAACAAACAAACAAACAAACAAACAAACAACAAAAACCTATGTCAGTAGCGGAAAGCAAGACTTCAATTCAATCAAGGTCGATGCAATTTCCATCCACGCGATTCACTTTCGCGAAAGTAAATTTCTATTTGGTTCGCGATGCTGCTGAGGAACTTCATCACCAAGAGCCTCAGATGCCGTCGTTCACGTATTTAGTTGACATAATGTGATGAAAGTGAACTACTATAGAAGTCTCATGCTTTATATGTGAATGCCAATTGTGGGTCAAGTGATATCCACAAGACAATGATTCTAGAATGCAAGTACAAAATGTTCCTTGTAAAAGACAATATTATTTTCAAAACAATAGTGAAACATTCCTACAACAGAGGCGTTTCACTTGTCCTCGGTTTAAAACGGAACCTTTAGGAATCTCGAAAATAGCAAATTTCTGCTTTCTTTGCTGGTTTGTTTGTTCGTTTGTTTATTTTTTGTTCTTCTGTGAAATTTAAGTGTTCATACAACTAAGGAGATCACTTCCTATCAGGAAGAACATTCCATGACCCAAATTTAATGACACAAACATTAAGCCCCATCCACCGAAATTTTGTCCTCTGTCCATATTTCGCCCCAAGCTGTGGGTCACGCATATATTTGGTGACGTGAGGGTCTCAGCACATTTTAAATGGTTACACCGTGGATGCTTTGCGTTCCTTTTTTTCCAAGTGGTCTCTAAGATATGCGATACATAGTGGTTGGCGACGACCGACACGATTTAAAATAGTAGCAGGAAAAGGACCACCAAAATCAAGCTGGAAAAAATGTCAAAATAATACATATTTATTACTTGAGCCTTCAACTCCCATTAGTGATCAAGAAAGAATTTCTCCTTACCATACGAATACAATATCAAGCAGACAAGTGATAAGAAGCAAGACAAATATTAATTAGGGGATTATTACTTGATCCAATACCGAATTCTCCAAACTAATATCATGAGAATTTTATAGCGGACAGTAAGGAGAGTTACTTATGAGATCTTGGGAGTGAGATAACAGTTACAGCAGCTGGCATTTGAGTGTCAAGAGTAATTCGGGATTGCTTAAGTTTCGCTCACTATATACGGCTCTGTGATTGGTGCCACACTCACAACCAATCAGTGGCAAGAATGAAACCAAGCGCGGCTTTCATTGACTACTCGCGTTTTCTAGCACTTCAAGTGGTTTGCTTGTTTTAATTCGATTTTTGTTGGCTGCTTGGAATATTTTTGTTGGTTCAATTTAGCAGCATAGATTACTTCTGTTTTGTTTTATTTTTCACTCAGTTGAAATGCACTCAGTTCATGTAGAATTACGTTACATTGAACACCTCTTTACCTGAGTAAGATACGACACCATAGAATACAGCTGACCATTTTGTAGCATGGGCTCAATTACCCAACCAGCAACGTGAACCTGTCAAAAAAAATTGTAAACGAGAAAAACTGGTTTGGTAACGCTTGTTGAAGTGACAACACTTTTAATGTTGAAGCACAGAATATTCAGAGGGATGGAGGACACGTGATTCAAAAGGCAGGAAAATAACGAGCAGGGAACGCAAGTAACACAGCATTTAAATTGTACGAAAGCAGTCTGGAATAAGGCAGTCAGTCATACCTTCATTCTAATGATGTCCTTCTTTTGAGGTAATTCGGGGATGTCCACGGATGTCGCAGCTATTAGGTAACGTTCAGGCTGGGTGGGAAGAAACAACTTTAGTATCTCTATCTTCAATCTACACTCTATTTGTAGGGTGGTTGGAAAGTGCGTGTCTCAGCTCAAACTTAATAACTTTGTTTCATTTCCTGATATCTAAAGTGGCTGAATCTCAGGGCTATCTAAATATATCGAACTTTAATGTAACCAAAAAAATCAGTTTTTCGAGAGCACAGATTATCATAGGCTTGATTTCCGCCGCTCTCTCGTGTCCGGTCTTGGCTCCTTCCCAAGGAGAGAAATGGGTTCGGGGGAGAGGCGCGGGCTCATATTCCCGAACAGCGGCTGGTAATCAAGCCTACGATTATAAGGACTTTCAAGAAACGGGCCTCAATCCGGAAGCCACCTCGTTTCCCGCAGAGTAAAGTAACTCTCAATGAACCAACTGCAAGTTAAAGTGTAAACATTCACCTCGACTCGCTCTCCTATCAAAGCTACAGAATCGCGTGACTGCTTCACGAAGCACTGAGTTGTTTCATGATGGCAATAAACTGTAAAAAATAAAAAGAAAGAACCCTCTTACCACTCCATTAGACAGAGCAACATATCAAAACAAGATTTTCACGGTAACTTTACAGGCATTTTTTAGAGCTACTAGGTTTGAATGTTACTAAGTTCAAGTCATTACTGCGGCGATTACTCTCGTCTCCATTTAATAATCCACGGCTCAAAATGTTCAAATGTGTAACTAGAGTCCTTTTCCCTTTCAGATCGTAATACACTGTATTGGTTTTATAGACTAACATCCGTTCACTGAGGGATTGTTGGAGTGAAGGGTTTTGGCTGTTTAAAGAGGAATTTCGTTCTTTGCGAACCTCCCAGAGAAAAGGAAAATTGTGGTTCACATTGACAGGGAGTTCGAAAAATCGGTACTCTGCTGTATTCTAAAATCACGTTCCTGAGCCACGAGTCTGCGCTATATTCAGCTAATAATCAATGGTTTTAAGCAAATAGAGAGAAACAAATAGACTCATCCAACTTACTGATTTTAGTTTGATCGTCGATTTGCCTGACCAACTTGGTTTTCTTCGATATGCAAACAAAACAGAATAGTTACGTCTCACATTCGAACAGACAAACAAACAAACAAACGGCTAGGTGCTAGAGACAATAATATTCAAGTTTGGCTTTCCATCAAATGAATGCTTTATCGAGAAGGTAATCCCGAGCCCCGAGTCCTAAGTCTTTTTGACCAGCTGTTGGTTGCCTTGGAAACCACTTAAGGAGTACATTGTGATCTTTAGGTGCGAGATTGGCGAGAAGAAGAAAACAGTTGTGTTTGATGCGTATGCGTATGCGTACGACGGTGAAGTACCAATAGGACGTTAAACTAAAGATAGCCGCATATCCCAAACACTCAAATATAAAAGAGTAATCAGCTTAGTTGATAACGTAAATTAGCCACCGTAGCTGAAGAGTTTAAAAGCTGATGTTTCGAGCGCAAGCCCGTCGTCAGAGCGATTGGAGGAATTGAGGGTTGTGTGCGGGTTTATATGCAGAAATTGGGGCTACGCTACTGGTGGGAATGTGGTGACAAGAAATCAAGAATAAATTAGTTGAATGAAACTCGTAGTTATTAAAAGTGCCGATTTGAAAGATAAATTTTTGTTCTAGAAATTTGCTGCTTTGCGAACTGTCTAGATGTTGGGAAAGGCCACAAATAGTTACCTTCAGCATTCTATCGTACACGTGACGCGTCATGTGATTCCGCACCGCTTCATAAACTGTTGGCGGTTTCGCTTTGATCATTCCCTTGCCAAGAAAACTGCAAATACATAGAAAGTCATAAACCGCATAACCCAGACGTCAAATAATATCTAAGACCTGGGGAACATTACACAAAGAGACCTTCGAACGTTTCTTAACAACTGTTAGCTCGCTCTCTAGCTCAGTCAATACTTGACTGGGAGGGTGGAAATGTAAAATAAGTCGCTGATTATCGATTAGACGATCAAATTAACCTCCATAGCGGATTTCTTCACCATTAGTTCTTGCATCTCGGTTTTTTGTCTCGACGACAGACTGTCACTCGAGAGGAAGGCGTTTCCGAATTCGCTAAAGCAGTTGTTTCACTAAAAAGAAGACCCTTCCAGAACAAAATGTCCTAACCTGTGAATCTTATCTCCTGTCTTCTGTAATATCACGACGTCTTTTTCGATGCTACGATAACTAAAAGAAAACAAAGAGAGAGAGCAAGTTGCGATAGAAAGGGTAACTCGTGGAAAAATAATAAAGCTCGTAAATATTCGGAAAAACAGAGAGATGATCAAAGATTAGCAACATGTTCATGATCTGATTTCTACATCAAACCACCGCAAAGATGAATAGTGAAACATTGTGTGACAAACGCAGATTGGATTTTAATTTCATCTCAGGTTGTGTGAATTTAGTAAAGTTGGCAAGACCCAACCAGCTCGAAACAGCTGTCCCCAATTTTAACTTGGTTTCCAGTTTTCATGTCGCTGTGTTGGCTCGCTGCTATTTTCTAATAATCAGATCTTCAAAAGATTCCAATGATACTGGAAACATAATTGACTGCGTCGCGCGAAAAAATTGTGTTCCTTTAAGCGGCTAAATTAAAAACAGCTCTAAACAGTGCACCGACTCCGGCGCTCGCTCTGCCGCGCAGTGTGAGTACTGTCTTGTGAACAAAAAAAACCAAACCGGACAAGCTAATGAGTGACGTTCACGACGTACCTCCACTCCCCTTCTCTCCCCTGACTGGCCTGCCCACCCATCTCTTCTGACACCGATATCTCTACTTGAGAAGCCAGTTGTACCTAGGCATATAAAAAAATAAACTAAGTTCATTCATTCTAGGGATTATCAGATTAAGCAAAAGATTCTTAATATACTAAACCTTTGACAACAGTTTTATAATGAATAAAAGGGGTAATTTTCTAAAGAAACTGCGTCGGTGCGAGCGTATAACAGGATAACTTAGTACTATCAACTGAGTTTATAACGTACATTGGCCACTGTAAAGAGTTTAAAAGCTGACGTTTCGAGCTGACGAATGGTTAACGCTCGAAACGTCAGCTTCTAAACTCGTCACGGTGGCCAATTTACGTTATCAACTCAATTAATACTAAATGCTCTAACTCGAGCTCCGGTCTCTAAACTATTATCCACTTACAGTAAAAGACACTAAAAACTTTCTCATCCTTAATATTTTTGACAACGAAAGAGAAGAAATTGGCAAAAACGCGTTCTAACTGAAAAAACTGTATGACTCGAACCTACTTTTTTGAGAAACGTCCTCAAAATCTTGCGCATCTGCCAAGTATATATGAGGTTTCCTCAGCTCAAAACAAACTCCGTAAGGACTCTTTTCAGTTTGAAGTATTCAATGAGCGTAACCCTATGGGTTTGTCATCTCGTATAACTAATACTAGGGCGAGGCCCAGGACTTCCATCACCTCAACGGGAAGATCTTAATGTGGGTACGGTGGAAAGTATAAAAAGTATGGTTGACGCAAAAGATGCTTGGGTATGGAGTTGGAGTGCAATCAAATCTTTTGAATAACATAGTTATTACCTCCCCTAGAAGGTTGGCAGCCGCTTGATTGCTAAGCGTTCGATAATCCAATTGATGTCTGTCCACTGTCAAAGCAAAACAATGTGATGAGAATGAATACTTTTCTATTCTTAGCATTTTTTACAATCATCTATAAAGTAGTCATGGAAGGCATATCATGAAAGCATATAAATCAATGCAATATCGGTTTAAATTGCAAGCAAAAAACAACAGGAAACTCAAAGCATGCTCAAACAAAGCTGATTAAAATTTAAAAAGATTGCATCGGCAAAAAATTTGAGATCTGTCCGCTCCACTTTTTCCGAATTCTTCTGGACTCTTTGGAAGGGTCACTCCTACGCGTTATGAATTCAACATACTGAAAAAATGACCTGTATCTGTCTCTTACCGTGTGAAAACTTCATTTGTTCGTCTGTAATTGGAAACATTTCCCCTGAGTCTTGCTGATGTGTAAAGATGAAAAGTTACATTAAGAGTTGTCAACGTTAGCAAGCTTGTTTACAGTGTACTACGTACGATCGCCCCAGGCTCGAGCGATCGAGATGATTTTATGGAAACTAGGCCTTAAGACAATCGCGAAGATCGAAGTAGGCTGGGTTGAGCCGAGCTCGTACCTGGGCCTTGTTTCCGTAGGATTGCCCAGGTCGCCTTAATCGTCTCGAAAATTTTGGCCGTAATTTCGATCAAAGTGATCATGTAGAAAACTAGACTTAAGATTAATCCAAACCGATTGGTGGTCGTTAACAATAGTGGTAATGATACAGAAAAGAAAAGCATTTAGAGCCAGCCATAATTAGTTTAAAGCTATGCAGAACTCCTTAGTTTCTTCTAGCACGTTCCTTCACCTCGTCTCACCGTCGAAACAATACCAATACGACAAAAACAAATCGGAGAACAAAAAAAAGAAAGAAAGAATCGTAAAAGGAAGAAAAGTCGGCAGGGTAAGCGACAAAAAAACCGGACCCCAACTTAACTCAAGCTCTGGATCCGCCACTGGCTACTCCCCCCCCTCTGGACTGGTTGCCAGTCTATCGAGGAGTTACCTTGTAGGTTTTCGATACCCATTCATTCTTGTGGGTGGAGATAGGCACCGTGTGATCAACGTATTTTGCCCGAGAACACTGTGAACAGGCTCTTTCGACTACTATCGAACCAAACTACAGGGTAAACCTGTGTCCTTCTTACCGATATATTATTTGGGTCGAACCTATCCGTCATTTCAGAAGAATGCACACTGTCGGTATCTTGCGTCTCAAGTAAGCTCCAGCCTTGTAAAGACACTTTCTCCTCCCTTTCAACATCCGGCTGCGGTTGCTGAGACGATTTGGCTTTCATTAACGCCGTACATAATTCAGCGCCTTCTCTTCGAAGTTGTGATGTGTCCAAGCCGTCAACCTCCACTTCAGCTTGATAACAAGCCTCGAGTTTATCTCGTAAAATCGCGAGAGCCTGAGGCTGAGATGATAGCACTCTGTTCACAAGTCGAGCGGGTAGATTTCCTGAAACGTACGTAAAGAACATCCGATAAGCGCTTAACCTTCGCAAATTAAGGAGAGGAACCCTCAATTTTAAATCAAAGTATCATAAAACAGTTTTTGTTTTAACCCGTGGTCTCAAAATGTTTGGTTTTTAATCAGTTCCGCCTGTAGTGGCACCATCGCTTCCACGACTTTTTGAAAAACTCGCAGTCATAGCGACAAGTTACATTGAGTTCTAATTATAATTCCACGGGTCTCAAAACCCTTTCTCAAAACCGTTAGGACATTTTAAAAGCCCCGAGTGTGTTATAGAACTCCCGTGCAAAGAAAACCTGTTTCCACATTTGTCCACGCGTGGAAATAGCTGGGAAGATTGCATAGACGGAAAGCTCCTTTACTTACCTTTTAAATCAACTCGAGTCATATACGTTACAACGTAACTTGGAGGATCACTACTCAGTTCTTTAACCACAAAACCGCCCGTGATTATCTCCGCTCTGAAACAACGAACACCACCATTAATATATTACACGCGCGATTCCTTGTATCTCACGCGATCAGCCATGCAAGTTAGCATAAAATCGCGAGCGAGAGTCGCCTTGAACGTGGAGACGCGGAGACACCTGTATCATCACGAGGGACAACTGATCGCGGTTTCCCTGCTATCGATAAAATAAAGAAAAAAGGGAGCCATCAGGTCTGCACCCTTGGTGTGCCTACAAAGGCTGAAACAGCTCAATTTGAAGACATCATCATTCCCTTGAGAAGACCGGGCGCCTTCCTCCCAGAGCCAGGTATGTCTCCACTAGCAAGACGACTTTGGAGGGAGTTTTGGCGCATAATCGCACGAGTTACGCGACCGACATTCGACTTCTAGCAATCTTTTCTTCCGTAATATAGAACGCGGGGGCCAAGCAAAAGAGGAGTGAGACGACTATTGTACTCGAGAAGTGAAAGAGATTAAGGACACTTCTCTGTCTCTCGGAAAAATCTTCACTGTTTACTATCCTTCATCACGACAAGGATAGAACAACAGACACAAACGCAGTAACTTGCTGTGAATTACATTCACTCAAAAAGGAGGGCCCCACTGTACACCTTTGTAATGCTTGGTGCTTTAACTGTCTGATCGACCGAGTGAGAATGGGCCATTTTACAGTTGTGCACTTAGTCGCCAAGCCTTGATTTCGAGTGAGGCTGAAGGGGACCTTGTTGAGATAGAGACCAGTATCTAGTTAGCATGATAACAAAGTAATTTACATTTGAAAAGCAGCAAGTTTTGTATCATAACAAGGTCACCCTTAGCCTCACTCCTATTCAAAGGCTTGGCAACCAAGCACACAATTGTAAAATGGACTATTGTCCTGAAAAGCCCTGTCGGTGACAGAGACGGACAAGACATCGAGCCTTGTATTAAAAGTTATAAGTTATTATTTACCTAACAATTCCTTTCTTTTCGGGACACCTCTCATGCTCGACCTGCGAACATTACAGAAAAATTATGTCATTTATGGCCTAAAAAGCTGTGCACTAGCTTTTACATTTCTATTCGCGACCATCTATACACAGGTACTGGTTACAGGGCCCGCGTGCAAGTTTTAGTATCCACAAGCTCTGTAGCTCTATTTCCTTTCCCCTGTAAGCTATCTGAAATGTCTCCGCCTTTTTAACATTAAAAAAAATTATTTCAAGTTAACAACTCCAAAGGAGGAGAAAAGCACAAGAGACGCTAGTTCATCCCAGGGTTACCCCCCCCCTACTTCCCCTACCCCACCCTTATCTTTTCATCGGGTTTTCCTGCCGTTCGCTGGTACCATTCTACTTCTTGGTATGAGAGTGGCAAGTTGAAGTGAAATTTTCTGCCCAGGAACACAACACAGAGACCCGGCCAGATTTCGTTCCCAGACCCTTTCGACCTGAAGTCCAGCCACCGGCGGCGTCTCCCACGACCACCCACCCATTATAGACTACCTTATAGGGATTTACCGGATATCTCGCTCAGTGCACGGATACCTATTCATAACCACGTGGGAGTCAGAGGGTCACTATAACAGTAAGGTGTCTTGTCCAAGTATATAAAACAATGTACACGAATCAATCGTTCCGCCTTTCAGCATGCTTAACACTAAGCTGCCGGACTCACACAAAAAGAATTTCATTTAGCTGATAAAACGTAAAAAAATAACGCTTAAAGCACACACCGCCTCAGAAGCCACGGCAATTACGCCTTCATCAATCTCTCGGAGAATAGCTATGACACAGAAGTCCCGACCGCTAGCTGGCCATTGTGGTTTGTACTCCAGTCGGTTGACCTGAAAGAATGACGAAAAGTTGTGAGGATCGAGGCAAAATTTCGCGTTAAGGCAATACGATGTTAAAACAAAAACATTCATATCTAATTCACTTCACTTAACGAATAAAAAGCATGATTTGCAAGTTGTTGTCCTGTGCTTCTTTCCAAAAGTTTGTCTTTTTTCAGCACCATTGCGTGACGCTCAAACAAGTGACACAACCATTGCGTGACGCTCAGAGCAAGTGACACAACAAGAAACTGTCAAATTTTCGTAAAAAAAATTTTATAATCCCTGATCCGAAATGAATGATACTTGCAAAGATCATCTTAACCGAAACTTACCTTTGTAATAGGATCAATTTCTTCCACAGTTTCGCCTGTAAAAGTAATACATCAGATTATTTCACGATTATTCGCCGAATTCGAAGGTGAACAATTGCCGTAATATAATTGCTCCGGTACTTTCGAATTCTGTTGTAAATTCATTCTGCTGTCGAAACTGTTCTGTAAATAAAAAAAAAACTTTTCGTGTCTTTCATTAAAATTATTTTGATTACTTCTATCAAGAATGGCAGCCAGTTACCACTAGAATTTATTGTGCGACTTCTCGAGCAACTCTTGCGCTTGTCGCATGCTCTCCAAATTTCCTATCACTCATCCATCCATAACTCGATATATAATCACGCTTACAATGAACCGATTCTTAATTTAACGGTTATGGTATCGTCTACGAGGGAATCCTCGAACAATCAGAGCGCGCACACCTTTATAATCACCAGAGCAGTTGTACTAACACAAATTAAACCAACAATCGTTCTCCAATATGAGATGGGGTTAAGTCTCAAGATGACTGAAGGTAAAATGCCAGTCAGTGGCATATGAGGTGAGGCAAAATTGACAGCAGACACCGAAAATGCCTGGGACCGAATTCTTGCTGGGGTACTCTAAAATGCGTGGTTACCAAGCCGTCGCCATTACGTAACGACGGAACATTTCCTCGTGAAATCGAATAGCACCGGAGCAGCAGAACTGTAGAAGAATGTCTGAAGAAAAGGATTCAACTAAAGCTGAATATTGGACCGATCGTTGGAAGGAAGGGAATACTGGCTGGCATCGGCAAGAAGTAAACGCATATCTAATTAAGTATGTTGACGAGCTCACTGGTGGAAGAGCGAAAGTGCGTGTATTCGTGCCTCTCTGCGGCAAGTCAGTCGATATGTTGTGGTTAGCCGAGCAAGGACACGCTGTAATAGGGGTAGAGGTTGCTAAAAAAGCAATAGAAAATTTTTTCTTAGAAAATAATCTGAGTTTCACCGTGGAAATCGTTAAAATGGCCGCGGAAAGCGAACCTGTGGACAAGTACAAGTGCAACGAAAAGGATATCACAATCTTTTGCTGTAATCTGTTCAGTGTTACGGAAGATGATGTCGGTGGCAGATTTGACGCTATTTGGGACCGCGGATCTTTGTCTGCTGTTGCTCCTGCATTCAACGATAATGGCAAACGATACACGAAAAAGATGCGTTCACTTCTCGCAAGCGATGGAAACTATATGTTAGAAAGCCATTACTATGAAGTTGACCGAGGAACAAGGCCACCAGCCTGCATATCTGAAGAGCTTAGGAATGAAATTTATGGAGAAGATTTTATCATCAGAGAGCTGGAAGTAAATAGGCTGGAAGAGGATCCTAACAGGAGCTTATCTTTCGCTTTAGATCTGCACTATCATTTATTCAAACCAAAGGAAAGCTAATGAAGGCATCCGAATGCAGTACCCTAGACTAATTAGCCCAACTGATGCTGATTGCAAGGGAATGCACGATTTTTTCTACCTGAGAAACTTTAGAACCTAGGTGATTCTATCACAGCTTGTATACAATTGATTCCGACTCGATTTGGTTGTTGTTTGTTTTTCCTTTTTTAAGACATTTCATATTTAGTGCAGAAGTCAACAGCAGAGTAAAGTGAGGTCTCATTTATAAGATGAATGTACTATTTGAACAATGCAAGGACAGTGAAAATCTGGTTTTTGGCGAGTGATAGGTTAACTTAACTTACACTTAAAGTAATGATTTTGGCTACAAGACTTGGGCAACAAGAGGTTAAAAAAAAAGGAAAAAATCAGGTAGCACCTTTTGACTTTAATCCAAACTGGAGCATGTCAGTCTGTAGTGCAGGAATTTTTGTTGGAGAGGGCAAGTAAGCATTACAAGCTTGTTGTGTTTAAGTCTTTGTTTCCCCCCATCTCCCTCTACATTAAAATTAAAAGATGGCAGCTGAACATTTTTCAAAGAAACACTGTGTGATTTCTTAGCAAAACTGCACCTTCACCACAGGCTAAGAGCCTGAGGATATGAAGCATCAAAGAACTCAGCTGAGTGCTACAACCACCAATAAAAAAATAGATTTTTTGCCATTTTTTGTCTGATGTAGAATCCTCTTTCTTTTTTGCTTCAAATTAGGCAATGTAAGTTCATTCTCAACTGTTTACATAAGCCAAGCAGAGCCACTTCTTGAGCTGATGTACCATTAAGCTTTATCAAGCAGGTATTGGATGACAATTAACATTGTTTCATTGAATTTTGGGTCTGGTGTTCAACCCTTTTAACCCCCAATATCTGAATGTTAATTCTCCCCTCCAGCTGCTACACATTTCCTTGTAAATTAGTTAGAAGAATGTGGTGTTAGATCAAGATGACAGCTTCTATCTGATAAGTCTGAGTAATCTCATTACCTTTTTGCTGGATAATGTATGGATGTTATGGGGAGATGTTATGTGTTGATCACTTTTGGGAGTTTAAGGGTTAAATGAGGTTAAGAAATCTCATATTTGTAATGTTGTACAACACCAGTCTTGGCAGCTTACAAGAAACTGATATTGAATACCTTTGAGGAACATGTCGTCCCACTCCCCTCTAAAATCCAGTTCGTAAATGTAGGCCAAAATGTAGTCAAGTGGCACATTTATCACTGAAGTTGCTTTATAGCAGTCCCAAGGTCGCTCTCCTGCCATAGGTGGTCGTTTTAGAATATCCAGACCCCTTAAGAAACATAAGATGAGTAAATCCTTGATTAAATATTAAACAGCAGGAGTAGTTTCACAAACAAAGTATGTCATCTTGGAGTCCATAAAATAGCTTCCTACTTGTCACTCTGTAGAGAATAGAGTGGATATTCACAATATCCTTTTCTTAAGGAGTGTTGTAAAGAGTTAATGTATATTACAACACTCATTTTAGTCTACACACAGAAAATATTCTTTATGGCCTTTCCCTAGCTAGTATCAGTAAATTTCATTATTCTCTTCATGCATGCTATAAACAAAAGCTCTCGCACAATTTATCACCACTGCTGATGAATGCTTCTATCAACAAAATGAAATATCCTATCCTTTCCAAAACAGACAGATCTGCACAAAGGGCACTTGAAGTAAACACCTGTCATTTAATTTTAACTGAAATCAACCATTTTTATGCAATTTAACTCCTTAGAAGATGGTACCACACTTGAATGTGTTGTATACTATGACATGTGCATATCAATCAAAACAGTTTCCAACGTACTTTGTATTTCCTTGGGAAGTCCAGTTGTCAGTTCCTTCAGTGGCCTGGTAGATGTCCATCACTTTTTGGAGCATTCCCTCCAAACTCTCACTGGCACAGGAAAATAAGACAAATTTCGTCAAATTATTCAAAGAATTGATTATTTAAAGAATTAAAAAGAGATAGCAGACTCAATCTTTGAAAATTCACATTCAAGAATTCCCAATAATAAAAAGATATATCATTCTATTTAAATTAATGAGTAATTCTAAAAGCAATTTGTGAAAATAGTGTGGTGGAAATTTTTGTGTGGTTTTCGATAAAAGTTTACAAAACCACAACAAATACGCTAAAGAAAGAGTATGACTAAGATTTATGTCAACTTTTGAAGAGAGGTGGTGTGGAAGATTCATAGACAAAAGTGTTGTAATAGCCTGCAGTGCAGGCGTCTTATTAGTGCTAGCAAACCTTACAAGCTTGCCATTGTTTATCCAACCAGTCATGTTTGATTTGAAGTTAGAGTGGGTGGTAGGTGCAGGGGGAAGGGGGAAGGGGGAAGGGGGAAGGTGGAAGGTGGAAGGTGAAGGGGAAGAGCAAAAAGATGCTTGCCTAAAGAGACTACCTCCAACCCCCCCCCCCCCCCCCTCGGTACAAGTTTATTTCCCATCCCTGCCTTCCGCTGCCATTAAAAGCAAAGATGGTGGCCCTAATTTTTTGTCAAGAAAATACTGAGCTCTGGCTCACCAAAATTACGCCTGCTCCACAGGACAGTGTTGTAAAGGAATATATGAGACTGCACTGAAGTCCCCAGGGAGGGGAGTTAAAGGGGTGTTGAGGTTGAAATCAGAGGAACACATTGAAAAAAAACCTGTATGGGAGGGTTTCCAAGACATTTCTTAAAACTTAGAATAAATTTAAGTGCACAGGATTGTACATTTCCTCTTTGACTCTCTACACTGAGCTTAAATGTATCATCAAGATTATAACTCAAATGAAATCTCTCTTTTGTTTCAACTATTTACTAAACACTCCCTTCGAAATGAAAATGAAAAAGGATTATCACCTTCTGAGGAATTCTGGAAGATGTGAATCACTACCAACACTTTCTTTTCCCTGTTAAATATTTACGAAGAAAAATAACATGATGAGCAAGTTTTACAAAATTAAAAAAAACTAATTAAAGCTTCTCCAGTTTATTAACTTAACAAAATTAAATCACAATCGCACAATTAAATGTGATGTTACTATTTAATGTTGAAAGGAAAACTTCTATTACAATGAGGGTGCAAGAAGGACTTATATTTAGTTCCTTAACCCTAATGGCTCCTTCTTTTTGTGTCACATTTACAAATCTGTCTTTATATCTCCCCATCTCAAGACATAAATTAGGCATGTCCTACCTGCTCAAGTCCACTAGTTGCTAAAAATGATAACATGACAAGTGATTGTCCTTTGGTGTCATGAATCTCATGCTGTACGATTTCATGAGAAAATGAACAGACTACAGCACTGGTACTGACACCAACCGTTGTGAACTAGCACTGATACATGTGACAGGCATGAGGGAGAATGTATCTTGTATCATGGCAAAAGTTACTAAGGCTGGTATCAAGGTAAAATTTGACATGTTACCTTGTACCGTCACATACCCTTTTTATCATTTTGTTATCATCAGTCAGGTCAACTGCTCCACCCAGTAAATCACCAACACCTGGAAGAAGAAAGTCTGGTCTTAACTAATATGAAATTTTAATGACCTCAGTGGTGTCATTAATTAGCTATCTCATAACAGTCACTGGGAATTAATTAAAACTTCAATACAATCAAAGCAAACCTCTGGCTGCATGTTTAGATCCTAATTTAAATGGTGACACATAATTTATGATATTCTTTACCCTGGCCAACAGGAGTCAAATTAAGTGTACAAT